AAAAAAAAAAAAAGGAGGAGGAGGAGTGGGAAAGAGAGAGGAAGAAGGAAAAAAGGAAAGAGTAATCTAATTTGGGCAGAAACTAAACAGAAACAAACATCTATGATGAACAAGGGCTACCTGCACTTTGAAATATGGAGTGAGCTTCCAAAGTTGAAATTTTTCCTCTATCTTCCAAGTAATTCCCTTACAACCATCATTACACATGCTGCCCCCACAATCAAGGAGCTCCTTGAAGATAAGGACACTCTYATTCAATGATTACCTCAATCTGTTTTTTTGTTTGTTTTAGTACCAAGGATTGAACCCAGGAGCACTTAACAACTGAGTCACATCCCCATCCTTTATTTGTTTATTTAATTATCTATTTAAATTTGAGACAGGGTCTCACTGAGTTGCTTAGGTCCTTGCTAATGTTAATGAAGCTACCTTTGAACTTGTGATCCTTATGCCTCAGCCTCCCAAACCTTTGAGATTACAGGCATGTACTACTACGCCTAGTTGACTACTACAATCTTGATATTTATAGAATAAATTAAAATGGATCTTTGGCTGGGTGAAGTGGCGTATGCCTATAATCCCAGCGGCTCGGGATAACATGCCTATAATCCTCAGGCCTGGAGTTTGATCCCTCCCCCCCAAAAAACCCAAATATTACACAAACACAAGGCTCTTTTTTTTTCTTTTTTCTTTTTTTGGTAATAGGGATTGAACCCAGGGGGGCTTAACCATTGAGCCTCATCCCCAGCCTTTTTTTATATTTTTATTTAGAGACAGGGTCTCACTGAGTTGTTTAGTGCCTCAATCAGTTGCTGAGGCTGGCTTTAAACTCACAATCCTTCTGTCTCAGCCTCCCAAGCTGCTGGGACTACAGGCATACACCATCACGCACTGCTAATACATAGCTTCTGAGTAATATAAATTTGGGAATCCTTGATTAAACATATATACATAGTTTTCTTTTTTCTTTCCTTTTCTTTTTATAGTACTGAGCCTTGTACATGCTCGGCAAATGCTATTCCACTGAGCTATAGCCCTACCACTTTTGAGACAGGGTCTAAATTGCCAAAATTGGCCTCAGCCCCCTGTGTTGCTAGGATTATAGGTGTGCGCCACCACAGCCAGCTTACATAGAGCTTTCTTTATTGTAGGACTTCTCAGAATTATAATATATTCATATACAATGAGAATCTCTAAGATGGCTGGAGATAAAACAAGCAAAATTCTTCAGATTTTTTTGACCATAGGATCTCATTTACCTAGTATTTCCAAAATACATTTTGGGAAATTCTACCTGAACAGAAAGTTCCCTGAAGACCTGGGAAGAGTATTGAATTCATATCTGTTTCTCCAGCACCTAGCACTGAGCCTGCTCCTAACAAAGTTTTCATTACTTTAAATAGTTGAATTTTAGGGCTGGGATTGTGACTTAGTGGTAGAGCACTCGCCTAACATGTGTGAGGCCCTGGGTTCCATCTTCAGCACCACATAAAAAATAAATAAATAAAATAAAGATATTGTGTCCAACTACAGCTAAAAAAAAAAAAAAAAGTTGAATTCTAGAGACTGGAGTTGTGGTTCAGTGGTAGAGCACTTGCCTGGCATGTGTGAGGCCCTGGGTTCGAACCTCAGCACCACATGTAAATAAATAAATAATATAAAAGATCCATTTACAACTAAAAAATATTTTCAAAAAAAAAGTTGAATTCTATTAATTAATTAGCTACATTCTGAAAAAAAATTTATCTTAAAATAAATTTGTTAGWAAAACCTATTCAGGGGAAGGCAGGAGATGTGAGCATAAGGAAGAAAGTAGAATGAAACAGACATTATTACTTTATATATGTATGTGACTGTATGACCAATGTGATTCTACAATATGTATACTCAGAAAAATGAGAAATTATATCCCATCTATGTATGATATATCGAAGTATATAAGTGTATTCTACTGTCACGTATAACTAATCAAAACAAATTTAAAAATTAAAAAAAAAAAAAGTAAAACCTATTCGTCACCATAAGATGAAGGATACCCAGTTCAGAAGAAATAATTTATCCTTGGGGCTAGGGGTATAATTCATTTATTGAATGCTTACCTAGTATACACAAAGCCATGGGTTCAATCTCCAGCTCAAAAAAACTGAGATGGAAATTTTTTAATATATTTTTTTCAGTTGTCAATGGACCTTTAATTTATTTATTGATACATGGTGCTAAGAATTAAACCCAGAGCCTCACACATGCTAGGCAAGTGCTCTGCCACTGAGCCACAACCCCAGCCTGAGATGAAGGATTTATACTGAATAAATTTAGTCCATACATAGAATCTATCAAGTTGTCAGATGTTTAAAAAATAATTATAATCTGCTGTGCATACCTCTAACCCATGTGACTCAGAAGGCTGAGGTAGGAGGATCACAAGTTCCAGGTCAGCCTTGGAACAAGTTCATCTCAAAAAAAAAAAAAAAAAAAAAAACAGGGGATTTGGCTCAGTGGGTAAGTGCAATCCCTAGCACAAAAATAAAAAAAAAAAAAAATTAAAAAGCAGAATGCAATGATAGAAACTACCAGAATAATCACCCACTTCCTGGGTTGTCTGTCTCCGCTTAAGGAGAAGAAGCCTCCAAAGATTTGAGAAGAAAGCTACATCAGCTTCAATGACCTGAGTATGTATTTTCCCTCCATATACAAAAATGATCCATCACCTAAACAGACTGCTCTCTGTTCAGACATCTTTAACTAGAATTCTTGAACAGGAGCAAAACACAGAGAGGGCTTAAATACAATCAGTGTTCAGAATTACCATCAGCAGGACATATTGTGAAGCCAAAGCTAGTGTCTGACAGTGATCAGGAAGCTGGGAGCCTGCCTGGGCAGAATGACCATAACCTTCCAGGCTAGTGTTTGTTTATTTACAACTGATGTCCCCATAGCAAGAGCTTGGCAAAGAACTGAACTTTGTTGGATACCAACCTCTAGGTGGAGCTGGCTGTTCCCAGTAAAAGAGACCCCACACTACAAGGAAAGAAACTCCCAATTCTGCATGTTTTGAGGAATATTGTTAGACAAAATTAACTTATGGTCTTCAAATTGTGAATTCTGTAGGTTCATCAAATTTTTGTTAAGTATATTAATAAAACACTGCTCCAGAGACCTGAAAACACTTTCTACGTGGTAAATTTTCACACAGCAGGACTTAACCTATTCCAGTCTCATTAATTCCATCAACATGCTAGCTCTGAACCACCACAAACCCCCGAGGCTGGAGGACAGTGGCATGGCCAGCTGGACACGTGGCTCGCCCAGCCTGACCTTGCAGCTGCTCTCTAATCCTCTCTGCTCTTCTTCATATTCAACACCCCAACTACTCCTAAGTGCCCTCTCCAGGCACAACACTGGACCAAAGAGCCTCTTGACTCTGAAGGAAGAACGAATTACTGATTTTGCATAGCACTTGACAGGTCATGAAGGTCTTTCATGTATATTTATTTCTTACTCTCTTCAGCCTCTTTCTCCTTCTTGCCTTTCTCATCACTGTTTACACATCTCAAGATTCGTCTACTTTTGAAACAGCTTCCCGCAGACCCCACATTTCCACTTAGCTACTCACTGTCTCTACCCACCCTCTTCTGTGTGCTCTTCAACTCACTCCAATCACTTCTGTTCTGACCACAATACCTTTATTTTGTTTCTATGTGGTGCTGAGGATCAAACCCAGTGCCTTCTCGTTAAAGTCATCAACTAACTCATGCTGTTAAGCCCACTGGATCTGTTCTGATCAACTTCCTTGTTTATCGATCTACCTTTCCCTTGCCTTCTCTTTTTCTTTTTTTCCTTTGCAGTACTTGAGATTGATGCTAGACAACAGCTCT